CCCTCTCCCCCACCCCTCCCCAAACGCACTTCACTATGCAACCTTAATTCTGGATTCCTGTGATAATCATGATACAGATAGACATTCCTCTGGTACTCTTTGCTTTCCACCAAGATCCATCTGACATTGGCAATATTGTTTCTAGTGCCTACAACCTCTTCTAACCCGCTTCTATTTCTCTGTTGATGGACAGTTCCAGTCATTTTTAGATAATCTTCAGCAAAATTTTGTTTGCATGTAATATTAGTGATGTTGTTGTTGTTGTTGTTGTTGTTGCTGTTATTTTTAAGTACCATCAAGTCAAATATGACTCATAGTGACCCTATGAACAAAAGATCTAAGTCCTATTCTATCCTGCACCATCCTCACATTTACTCACATACAAGAGCACATTGCAGCAATCACAATGTCAATCCACCTACTTGAGAGTCTTCCCCTCCTTGGCTGACCCTCCACTCTTCCTAGTATCATGTCCTTCTCCAGGGAATAGCCCCTCCTCGCAACATGCCCACAGTACATAGGGCAAAGCCTCAACATTCTTGGCTCCAAAGAGCACTCCGGCTGCACTCTCTTCAAGACATATTCAGTCCAGTTCAGTGTTCTTCTCCAGCAACACAACTAAAATGTTTCAATTCTTATTCCACCATCCTTATTCATTATCCAGCTCTCAGATGCATAGCAAGCAACTTGAAAGGCCATCGCCTGAATCAGAGACACCTTAATCCTCTAACATTATTACTCCTCAATTATTTGGAGAAGTCCCAACTGCAGATTTTCCCAGTGCAATACAGCTGGTAACAAGTCTTAATTGTAGATCCAAGCAAGATGGAGCTGTTGATTAGTTATATTGTTCAATAATTCCTGCACTCTGTTGGGCCATCTTTTGGGGGAATGAGGATATCAGTCTCTTCCAGTTAGCTAGTCAGATAGTTGTCCTCTAGGTTTCTTGGCACAAACTGGTGGGCACATCCAGGGCAACATCTCTTTGCTGAAATATGTCAACTGTTATGCCATCAATTCCCGGGCCTTTATTTTTTGCCAAGTCTTTCAGAGCAGCCTGCACTTCCTCCTCCATCACCATTGCCTCTTGATCATATGTTGTTTCATGAAATTCTTCTGTGTCAGCCAATTATTTTGATACAGTAACTCTATACATTTTCCATCTTCTATTAATGTTTTCCGTATCATTCAATAGTCTGCTTATAGCATCCTAAGTGATGTAGCTTGAATTTATTCTTTAGTTCCTGTAGCTTAAGAAATGCTGAACGAGTTCGGCCCTTTTGATTTTCTGACTCCAGCTCCTTGCACATTTGATTATAATACTTTGCTTTGTCTTCCTGAGCTGCCCTTTGAAATCTTATATTCAGCTCCTTAACTTCTTGATTTCTTTCCTATCCCTTGGCTTCTTGGCATTGTATTGCAATATTCAGAGTTTCTTCTGACATTCATTTTGGTCATCTTCTTCCTTCTTTGTAATGACTTGTTGCATTCTTAAATGAACTATATTCTTGATATCTTCCCACAGCTTATCTGGTCTTTGCTCATAGTGCTCAAGGTCTCAAACCTGTTCCTGAGTTGGTTTTTAAATTCAAGTGGGATAGACTTCAGATCAAACTTTTATTCCTGTGGATTTGACTTTACCTTCTTTAGCTTTAATCTGAACTTTCCTATGAGTAATTGATGGTCTCTTCCACAATCAGCAACTTACCTAATTTTTACTGCTGATATTGAACTTCTCCAATGATTCCTTCAATAAATGTAATACATATGATTCCTGTGCATGCTATCAGGTGAAATCCATGTTTATACCTGGCATTTACGTTTCTTATGAAAAAGGTATTTGCAATGAATAAATCAGTGATTATGGGAAACTCTATCTGTCCCCAGCCTCATTTCTGTCACCAAGTCCATTTTTTCTGACTACTGATCCTTCTTCCTGGTTCCCAACTTTTGCATTCCAATCACCCATTATTATTGATGTATTTTGGTTGCATGACAATTAATTTTTTACTGCAACAGTTAGTAGAAATCATCAATTTCATCTTCTTTGGCTCTCGTTGTTGGTGCATAAATTTGAGTAATATTAATATTAACAGGTCTTCCTTGTATGCATATGGATACTATCCTGTCAGTAGATATGGCCTTTTAAACTATGAAAGTTGCCCCTTTTTTTTCACCTTTTCATCTCCGGCATAATAGTTCATATGATTGTCTGATTCAAAATATCGCATGCCAATCCATCTCATTTCACCAATATCCAATATGTCAGTATTTATGCATTCCATTTCTTTCTTAATAATATCCAGCTTTCCTAAATTCATGCTTCTCACATTCCACATTCCAATCACTAGTTTTTACTAATAACTGTTTTTCCTCCTTTGTTTCCAAATTTCAGGGCTCATCTTCAGTTGTCATATCTATTATTCTACTCTAAGTGTGCTCTATTGCACATAGGGTTTTTAAAGGACTGTTATAACTCTGAAGTGGATTGCCAAGCCTTCTTCCTAGTCTGTCTTAAGCTTGATGTTTAACCTTAGGACAATATTTGACAGACAAGCATTTTACTGAAAGAAACAGATGAAAGATATTTCCCCTTACAGAGATCACCATACATGCAGTACCCTCCCCATGGAAGTCTTTATCAAGCTAACCAATTGCCCTTTTTTTTTTTTAAGTAAGCAACAGAGCAACACGTCAACAGTGAACTGCCAAATGTGAGGGCTGGGTTTAGAAGAGGTAGTGCTACCAAGGATATTATAGCTAATATTAGATGGATCTTGGCAGAAAGCAGAAACTACCAGAGGAATGTCTATCTGTTCTTCATTGACTATGCAAAGTCTTTAGACTGTGTAAATCACAACAAGCTGTGGCTGACTCTGAGAAGAATGGGAATACGAGAACATTTGATTGTGCTTATGTGAAACCTATACTTGGACCAAGGGTGCAGTCATCAGAACAGGGCAAGGAGACACTGCATGGTTCAAAATTGGGAAGGGATTCTGCCAAGGATGTATTCTGTCTCCATACCTTTTCAATCTGTACACAGAACAGATCATCTAAGATGCAGGCTGTATGAGGAGAAATGTGGCATCAGGATTGGAGGAAGATTCATAAACAATCTGCGTTATGCAGATGATACAACCCTGCTTGCTGAACGTGAGGAGGACCTGAAGTGCTTGCTGCAGAAGGTCAAGCACTGCATTCTTCAATATGGATTGAAGCTCAACATCAAGAAAACCAAGATTCTCAGCACTGGACCAATTGGAAGCATCAGTATGCATGGTGAAGAGATTGAGATAACAGTTTTAGTTTGCTTGGCTCCACAGTCAACACTCTTGGCACAAGCATCTAGGAAATTAAGAGACGGAAGCTGTCAGGGCCCTTTCCAGAGTACTGAAGCAACCATGTCAGGCTGGAAACTAAGGTGTACCTCGTCTAGGCTATAGTCTTCGCAATTGTGTGCTATGCCTCAGATATCTGGACAGTGACTAGGGATGATAGAAAGAGAATTGATTCCTTTGAAATGCGGTGCTGGAGAAGAGTTTTGAACATATCATTGATTGCTAAGAGACCAAACAGATTTGCCCTGGAGAGGGTGAAGCCAAGCTGCTCCTTGGAGGCAAGGATTCTGAAGCTTCGTCTGACATACTTTGGGCATGTTGCAAGGAGGGACCAGTCCTTGGAGGGGGACATCATGTTTGGAAGAGCAGGAGAGGAAAACCCTTGATGAGATGGATCGATTCAGTGATTGTGGTAGTGGGAGTGGGTGTGTCAGAGACAGTGAGGTTGGCACAGGATAGAGAAGGCTTTAGGGCTCTTGTACATATGGTAGCCATGAATCACAAGTGACTCCATGGCACATAATAACAACAACAAGCAATGGAAGCTTTTTATCTATCCAGATGTAAAAGTAACACTGAGAATTATAATGACTTCAACAAATGGAAGTGACAACTGAAAACTATTCAACTTTCTGAATGTAATTTGGAAATTTTAAGATAAACTCACTGCATGTTTGGAAATAAAAACTTCATGTCTAGAAATAAATTAAGATTCTTTTTTGCATTGTATTTCTTTTTCTTTTTTTTTTCATTGTATTTCTATCAACACTGCACCCCTTGACCTTCCAGGGGGTAACTAAAAGCTGGGGTAAAAAATACTCTTGGTATTAGCCAAAATATCTTTCTGAATAAATGAACACCTTTATTTTGTCCACAGATAAAAGCCTGTCAGCTGGAGAAAGAAAAACTTGAAAAACAATTAAAACAGGTATGTGGATCTTTACCTACGTTTACCAAGCATTTTTGTTATAATTAATTTCGACCCACACAGAATTCCCACATACAATAATTCCTCCTTCAGGGATAAATTAAAGGCACATTCAAACACTGGTACAGATGGCCTAGAACAGCTCATGGTTTTAATTTTCAACTGAAACATCAGTGGATAGATAGTGCTTAAGAACTGCAAAGACCTCCCAACCGGAACAATCGTGAAAAACATATGCTTTGCCAAGCAAGTCACCAGTAAACCAAGCCTGAGTGCGTGTTCACGCCAAAGGAGATGTCTTTATAGGTACACAAATGCCTGGGAAATAAATTTCTTGGGTCTTTCTTTTAATGGCATACAGAATTTACAATGGAAAACTATATTCAATACCATTGCCTTTTATAAGAAATGGAATATCTTCTTGAACATTTAGTCATTCTATTCTAATTTGTTCTCTAGGGATCTGAAAGAATATTATGTCTCTTTATTCTCAATTTCCTCCCTGAATTATGTTGCTATGCCATAGAATTCTCAGGCTGTCAACTTAGGAAAACTTATTTACTGAGTCAGTGGAAAGTTCTTCAAAAATGAAAAGTTTATGTGAAGACATCTAGGGAACATCTTAACTTGATACAACTTTTCAACTAGTTTCTAAGTTTCTGGTTTCTGCAAAATAGGAAAAGATGAAACATCAACCAAGGTTTTAGTTTCCCTTAGTGTAAAATTTGGTCAGTGAACATCATCTGAATATATGCAGTTAATATTGACATGTACCTTAGAGAAATACAACCAATGAGATGTATTAATGCACAGCAGGAGAGCAAAATATAGAAACAGAACACTGATCTCTGTCTATAAGATAGACAGAAGTATAGCCATAATAAGAGAAATTATAATCGTCTTTAAAATGTGTATGTGGCTCTCCAATAAAGACAGACACAGATCTATAAAGAGAATTAATTTACTTCAAGGAGTGTGTCCCCTGACTGTGGGGGATGGCAAGTCCAAACACTATGTGTCAGGGAGCAAGCTGGAGACATCTATAGGTGATAAGGAGAATGCAGAGAGAGAAAGTTCTGCCAAAATATATTCTTACAGACTGGAGGTAGACAGTACCTTAAAGAAACTCCCCTTTGAACTGGTTGGTTGTTGCTGTTGTTTACTGTGACCACACGTGGCCCTACATGGTTTTTTTGCTATAATCTTTATGGACACAGATCAACAAGTCTTTCCTTCAGAGAGAAACTTACACATTGAATGCAATCAAGTCAATTCCAACTTATAGTAACATTCTATCAGGTTTCCAAAGGTGTAAATGGCAACTGGGGCAGACTGCCTTTCTTCCACTGGGTCACTGGTGGATTCAAACTGCCGGGATACACTCAACCTTTTAATTAGCAGTGTAACTCACTACAGGCTATGCCACCAGAGCCCCCATGAACCTCTTAGTTAGTATAAGAGCAGTTAACCATTTAATCCTTGAGGGTCCTATTTATAGATTATATTGTATTACGTTATGGAAGGTGATTACATTATGCTGCACTGTTCTTGTTGTTATGTCTTGTTGATTCAAAACCAACTCATAGCTGACTGTCCAGCTGGTGTTCAAAGGCTATAAATTACACAGGAGGAAATTGCTCATCTTTCTTCTGTAGAGCAGCTGGTGGATTAGAACTGTCTACCTTTGGATTGGCAGCACAACTCTTTACCTGCTAGGCCATCAGAGCTACCATTAGATTGCTGATCATATTACATCATTAGATAGTAATTAGACTATTTGGTCAAACCACCGAGACCAAATTAGCATTATGTCATGATATTCAAACCTTGAGACTTAAAACAAAGCTTTATTGTATAAAGCAAATGTCAGTGCGAGTCCCCAGTTTCACTTGCATTCAATGAACTGATAGCATCATTCTTTTCAGATGCATTTCCCTACCTGTGACTGTGGCTTGGTTTTCCACCTTCGGGATCCATGGGCGCCAACTGGCCCTGGGGCTGATCAGGATTTACAGAAGCACCCAGTATGTACAAGTTTCCATTTCAACAAATAAATACTTAAACTCTCATCAGTAGAAATGTCTATGTTTGGATTTTCAGCATCTTTACATTAACAATGTTATGTCATACTATCCTATTTTATTTCAGTCTCTAATTTGTAGAGTTGTAGTGGTCAGTATACACTATAATTACTGTTGAAATACCATATTGGATGCACACATATATAAAAACTAAAAGATGTAATATTGTTGTTTCTGTTGTTGTTGTTGTTGTTGTTATGTACCATAGAGTTGAAACCAACCCATAGCTGACCCTCCAAGTGGGTTTTCAGATGCAGTTAGTTAATCGCACAGGAGGAGATTGCCCATCCTCCCTCAAATGAATATGTTGGTTTTAATGACACACCTGACTCTGTTAAAAAGACATTTTAGGTGTAAAAAAAGTGAAGTCACTACATTGCTATTATGTGCCCTCGAGTTGGAGCTGATCCCTTAGCTGACCTCCCAGTGGGTTTTCAGGGATAGTAAACTGAATGGAAGGAGGTTTTCCATCTTTTTCCCTCAGAGTAGCTGGTGAATTCAATCATGGGTCTTCAGGCTGGCAGTGTAGGTTGTTTCCACTAGGGCCAACAGAGCTCCCTGGTAAGTATAGCCAAACATAGAGAATATGGCAAAACAGTACTGATGTTTCATAAAATTTTACATTGAACTACTATAAAGGTGTCATTACAACTATTTAAAATAGTTTCTGACAATTTCTCATTGAATTTTTGGGGGGAGGCAAAGGTTAACAGACAAGAATTTATTCTCATACAATTTAAGAGACCAGAAGTCCAAAGTCAGGATCCCTGCTCTTGGGGAAGGCCATCCCTTTGTGTCGGTTCAGGAAGAACAACCTTGTTTCTCCTATTGTCTTGGACTTCCCTGGTGTCAGGGAACTTTCTCACAAAGAGACCAGAGTCTAAACGTGTGTACTCCACTCCTAGTAGTTCTTTCTTGATTTCTTTAAGGATCTGAAAATAATTACCCACCTACACCTTCTCTGTGTCTATGTCTACCCAGGCAAAATGAAAAGAACATTTGGGCAATTATTTGAGAGTAGAACTGAATTGGACAGTCAGACTCATAAGTCAGAGCCAAAGAGGTGTCATCCACCTGCCTTCTGTGATCTTTAGTCTTGTGTCTATTCTCTTTTTCTGTCTACATAGACAGAACTTTTACCTAGGGAATAAAATAATATACCTTTGTGCCATTTGAGTTGATTTAGATCACTCCTATAGTTTTATTAACTATATTTCTACTTGAGCAAAGAATCTCTGAGATAAAATTTTAATGGAATCTTTCTAGCAGAACACTTAATTGCATGTTTCTCTTGGTTTTCTGAAACCTCATGCATTTGTACTTGTGTCTAACTCAAAGTCCTTTCCTTGAGGGAGGCAACAATGTCTCCTTGGGTGGTGAGAGGCTGTGAGAATTGAATGAGCATCTCTTGTTTGACCTCAGTTTGACACAGAATACTGCCAAGAATTTGGTTCATTATGTGTGGTTGCCTAGTGGCTGTTTCTGCCTGTTCTCCCTCCCACATTTCCGTCTTCTAAAATTTATTTTCTTTTTCTTTTATTGTGGTAAGACATTTGTAATGTAAAAAAATTACCTTTTTAACCATTTTTAAGTGCACAGTCCAATGACATTAATTTCATTCTTCAAGTTGTGCAACCATCACCACGATCCATGGCCAAATTTGTTTCATCACATCAAACAGAAACACAGTATTCCTTAAGCAACAACTTCCACTCTTCTCTTTTACCTCTAGTAAACAGTGGTAAGATTTGCCTTCAAGCATTTGCTTATTTTAACTACTGCATATAAGGGAGGTCATATAATGTTTGACTTATATCATGGAGTGTAATATTTTCAAAGTTCATCTATGCCACAGCATGTATTTAATTTTCCTTTATAGCTGAAGAATACTGCAGTCTATTGTGCAGCAATGTTGTTGTTGTTGTTATGTGCTGATGAGTCGTTTGCAACTCATAGTGACTCTATGTACAACAGCCCTAAGCTCTGCTCTATCTCTCACCAACCTTATTGTCTCTGATACACCTACCCCCATTTCCCCATTGACAGAATCAATCCATCTCATCAAGGGTCTTTCTTTCCTGTGCTGTCCCCTCCACCCTCCAAGCATGACATCCCTCTCCAAGAACTGATTCCACCTTGAAACATTTCCAAAGTATGTCAAATGGAGCTACAGAATCCTTGCCTCCAAGGACCAGCCTGGATTCTCCTTCTCCAGGATGAACTTATTTGTTCCCCTAGCAGTCCATGGTGCATTCAATACTCTTCTCCAACACCACAGCTCAAAGGCATCAATTCTCCCTCTATCATTCCTAGTCATTGTTCAGCTCTCTGAAGCATGGCAAGTAATGGCAAAGACCATGGCCTATATCATGCGCACCATAGTCTCCAGACTGACATTGTTGCTCTTCAGTACTTTGGAGAGGTCTCTGACAGCAGACTTTCCCAATTTCCTGGCTGCTGGTACCAAGAGTGTTGATTATAGAACCATGCAAACTGAAGCTGTCAACAATCTCATTATCTTCACCATCTATCATGATGCTGCCAATTGGCCCAGTGGTGAGAATCTTTGTTTTCTTGGTATTGAGCCTCAATCCACGTTGAAGGCCGCTGTCCTTGACCTTCTGCAGCAAGAGCTTCAGGTCCTTCTCAGTTTCAGCAATCTGGGTTGTGTCATCTGCATAACGTAGATTGTTGATGAGTCTACCTCCAATCCTGATGCCACACTTCTCCTCATAGAGCACAGCCTCCTGGATAATCTGTTCTGCAAATAGATTGAAAAGATACGGATAGGACACATCCTTGATGCACACTCTCCCAATTTTGAAACATGCAGTGTTTCCTTGCTCTATTCTGACGACTGCTTCCTCGTCCAGGTATAAGTTTTGTATGTTATTTCTTCATTCATCTGTTGATGTACATTTGTGTTGTGTTCATGTTTTGGCTCTTATAATAACACAATGAACAAGTAATTTTCTTTTTTTCTTAATCTCACTGTTTACTTTTTCACTCTTCACCAGAAATGTTTGTGGGCATCTCTCAACACAGCTATAGTCTTGAACCATCTTTGTGAATATCTAAAGTAAGTTTGAGAGAGGCACAAAGAGATGGATATTTACGTAGGTGTTAGCTCCTGCAGTTCAGTGGATTGGAGAAATGTTCTTGTAAAAGGTTAACTGTAAAACTAGAAAATTATTTTCTAATTTATCTAGGATTTTAAAAAAGGTTTGAAGGTATTCTTACAAAAAGAAGAAAGAAATTCACACACCATAAAATCTTGTGAAACTTACCCTATAAATTAGAGCAAGTAAGGAAGTCTAGATCAAGTGAAATCATCAGCAGATATAGCTCTGTATTTTAAAAACATTCTATACCATATATAATCACATTTCTTTGTAGTAGTCAGTTAAACAAAATCTTACAGTAGAATTTATAAAAGCTCTTGGAGTTAATTTTAAAATAGGTTCTTTTATGCTTATATTAAAGTCTGAATTGCCTAACATGCACCAGTGTCTGTAAAATGACAGCATATTTACCTTCTTTTGGCAAATCTCCTGGAATATAAAACTGAGGCTCATGTCACTTATCGCCTGTGTTATTTGAGACATATAAAAATAAACGAGAAGATAATAAACAGAGGTGATCTCATTTCCTCTTTTAGCTTTTCTGTAGCCCCAAATGAGCCAAGAGTCTAGGTGTTTTAGTGCAGATAAAGTGGGGTCTGACTCCACTGAGGGCAACATTTCTCAGTGACATGTCAAGTAATTGAACATTTAGGCTACTTTTAGTGGTCTGGCAGCCCTTTAAATGTTCCCTGGCTGGCTCATTGTAATAGAAATTGTCCTGACTTATTTTCAAGAGACAATCTATTCTCTCTGTCTTGTGGGGAGGTAGGAGCCCGGGGTGAACTTGTGGAGCAGGAAGACAGATCAACTTCATAGGCAGGTAAAGCAGGGATTACTCCTTTGTTCCAAGGATTGAAACACAGAGCTTGGCGTCAGAACTGTATCTAGATAATTCAGGCCTCAAACTTTTTATTTATTTAATGCACTTTGTTTGACATGTACATGTAGGAGAAAATTCTAAAGGAAATATTTTAAATTCTCCTCTCTTCTGGCTTCAGCAAATCATTGGTTCTCTTAGGATAAATTATTTCAATGATGTAGCAAATAGATTCTCCAGAAAAACAGGACAAGGAGAAATATTTGTTCTGCTTCATTATCCTGGACCTCTATCTATCTTGTCCCCGCAAAATAGCATCAATTTCTTTCTTCAGCCAGGCTTCCCATTGCCTCCAGTAAGGATTTAAAAGAGTACTTACTGATGTTTTGTTTTATTTGTGGGTGATGGTGACTTTAACAAAGTGTTTATACTTCTGCAGATCTCCAAAACACATCTGTCTAAAAAAAAAAAATCAAGAAGAAAGAAAACACACCATAACACCAAAGTAGTAAAATTTCTGGCCAAATACCAGGTGGATTTGGGAGAGTGCAGGGGAAGATGGTGGTGGTGAGGAGGAGGGTTAGGCTAAAAGGGATGAGTGAGATTGACAACAGGCTTGGATAGGAATGACTTTTATAGAGCCTGCATAATAAAAGCCAGATCATATAATTATATTTTAACGTGCCACTATGTTTTATTTGAAGTCCATATTGCTATAATAATGTTTTATTGCTCCACACAGCCAGACTATCAGTGGTATGCTCCTGACCAGTTTCCGCCAGATGTGCAGCACAAGGCAAATGGTAAGACCACAGCTGTATCTAGCATTCTTTCATGTTTACATCCTAATGGAATCTTGTGGGGATGTTTACTCAATGCACATTCATTCCTACTTGGGAAAAACTTACTCTAAAGTTGTGGTGCATACACAATTCTAATTTGATGCACCTGGGATTCAGTTGAACCCCTTAAGAGAAAAGGAAAATCTTCGAATACAGAAATGCATGAATCTCATTTTGGCTTCCGTTCCCATCCCAGTCTCAATGTTAGTATTCCATCTGGGGTAGGAAATGAAAACTTTCAGCAGAGCTCTATTATAACAATAACAACAAAGCTCTGTGATTCAACTACAAAGGACAGATGAACACGCACTATTCCAGGTTGAGTTTGCTAAACAGATGTTTTTAGTGCCACTGGCAGACAGACAGAGGAAACCAGAGGCTCAGAACTGTGTTCCCTAGTGACCTGATGTCAGACCCCAAGGCATTACTCTCAGTGTAAGCCAGGCTTACCCACAAAACCTACCTTGAAATATGATGGGAAAAAACTAAAAAGTCACTTAGAAAGGACATATAATTTAAGAGTACTCTTTTATGTTATTTTCCTCTGGTGTACTATTCTCTTTTTCCAGAATCTACTGTATTTTCTAATCCTTGTTTTGATGGCCATATGAGGCCACCCAGGAGAGGGCTCTATAAATTGGGGTGTAATTATAATCCCACTTCTATTTTCATCACATACATTCAAAAGTCATTGTTGTCAGCTACCTGTTTAGAATTTCATATGACATACATCTGTTCATCTAATTACTTCAGTTGCAGAGGTTTTAATCCATCTGGAAATACTGAAGATGAGTGATATTCTGCTATTCTGATATTTCTGGCTATACTTGAAATTTGACCTTTCAGATTTCAGACTATGTAATTCTAGTTTTTATAGAAAAATAGGGAGCCAGAGCTGCTACAGTAGTTTTGCAGGCTCTAAATTCCGAATAGTTCTTCGTAACAGTCTATATAAATTCATCTTCCTCCTCTTCTGCAGCGCCCAACCTGAAGAGCTGTACACAGATTCCCAGGAGTAACCAAGGCTAGAGCATGGAGTAAAATTTCAATGAAATAAAATTAATAAATCCATAATAAATCATATGAGTACTTTTCAAAAAACTAGAGATGTTCTGTTTACCTAGAATGGGGAATAAAACATGGACATGGACTCGGTGGCTCCTGAGACACTGTGCTCTGTTATCGAACTACACCTCCAGGCCCTAGATATTCTTTTTTCTTTATTTCCTGTTAAAAATATAACCATTGGCTTTAGTGAAGGTTTGGGGTTCCAACCATAATGGAACGTTTTAATTAGAGGGGCATATTTACTGTTATAGTGACAATAATAATTATTGCTGTTACATAATGTCGCTGTTTTTAAATCTATTGTTGTTTTATAGCTGAATTACCACTCAATCATAATTTTCCATTTTCCACTTCTAGAATAAATGTTAAAGATATTTTCCCCTTGAGTAGGAATTCAGTCACTAGAAAATACAATTACTCAAATAATTTAATTTCAATAAGATCAAAAAGCTATTTATGTATGATCATTAGGTTCAACTTGTACTAATGTTACAGAAGCTAACAATTACATAAAATACTAAAGAGTTATGATGACCTTCAGAAACAAAATAAAATGTATACAATTGAAATTTTTGGTCAATATTTGAGGCTTATTTCTTTGGTCTGTTGTTGTTGTTGTTGTTGTTATGTGCCGTCGAGTAGTTTGCGACTCATAGTGACCCTATGTACAACAGCCCTAAACCCTGCTCTATCCTGGGCCAACCGCATTGCCTCTGACACACCCATCCCGATTACCCCAGTCACTGAATCAATCCACCTCATAGAGGGTCTTCCTCTCCTGCGCTGTCCCTCCACCCTACCAAGCATGATGTCCCTCTCCAAGGACCTGTCTCTCCTTACACCATGTCCAAAGTATGTCAGACAAAGCCCCAGAATCCTTGTCTCCAAGGAGTAGCCTGGTTTAACCCTCTCGAGGATGGATCTGTTTGTTTTCTTGGCAGTCCATGGAACATTCAATACTCTTCTCCAGCACCTTGGGGGGAAAAATGAGTTTTTAATAGAACCTACTGGGTGACAGTTCCACAGTGGTAAATTATAACAAAGTATACATTTTATTATATTAGTAACATAAGTATTTAAGTATGTTATTTATTTTAAACTTTGTAATAGTACCCTATATCATACATTTTACTGTTATACCATTTTACAGATGAGGAAATTGAGACTTGGAAAATGTATGTGACATGCTTAAATCATATAGTAAGATTTAGAACTAGGAGTAAATTACAGATATAATTTAAAACTATGGCCTGTGACATATATCTCAGCATCTCTGATAATCTACCTCTCTTATAGTATGAAAATATTCTAAAATTATAGATAAAAGGTAAGGAATATGCCTTTAATTTGAGTGATTACATGACTTTTTGCTCTTTGTCACCGAATTATAACCAACTCATAACTGACTTCCAGTGGGTTTTCTGAAACAAATAACCTCATGGGAGGCAATTGACCATCTTTAGAGCACTCATAGAGCACCTGGTGGATTCAAGCTGCATGCCTTCGAGATTGCAGTGTAGATTCTTAATACTAGACCACCAGATCACCCTGCAGTACTAGTAACTATGTACTATGACTAATAATCTCCCCTTCTTATAAACTCATAGCATATATTTTCTGTCCTACTCATTTGATATTTAGACTATCATCAGTGAAAGCTAGTGCTATGTAAGAGTGACTATGTTTTACAGACATACCACAAAAAAAGCTGCACAAAACAACACCAAAAAGAAGTCAACACAATGATAGCAATAAAACCTAGCCTCTCAATAGTCACACTGAATATGAATAGTTGAAATGCACCACGGAAGAGAAAAAGAGTAGCAGATCAGATAAAAAAA